CATTTCAGGGTGTACATCAGGAGGTAAGTGGTTAAAATCAATTGAACAGATCGATATAATCTGTGTGATTGTACTGATACAAAGTTATATTGAGACCTATTTGAGTTAGTTTGTTTGTTTCTTTGATTGTTTGTTTGCTTTACTCTCCACACAGAGGATTTCCACTTTCATGGTGAAGGTGGGAAACCTGTTCAGCCGTAGAGTGCCGAGCAGCTCTAAATCTACAACCAATCAGAGTTGCTGATTTTCGGCACAGCCTTGAGTACCATTAATGCCCTGAGATCTACTGGAGGCCTGGAGGACAGGCAAGAGGAACTGATCTATAAAATCTGGAGAATATCGGGGAGGTTTCCAACAGTGTTGATTGTTTTGAGAACGAAAAGTAAAAAATAGGATTGGCTGTTGTCTACCTCTCCAGGTTCCATGCTCCATTTTTATATTTCAGGCCCATATTCTCGAGCAACCAATCAGATTGTAGCCGTTTTTGCAGTGACTATTCTGATTGGATGCTGCAGACAACACAACTTTTTCCTTTTGCTTCTGTTGTCCTATATGTGATCCACTATATAATGTACAAAAGAAGAATAGGTGGGGGTTATTGAAACCATACTAAAGCAGCTTCTTCTCCCCTCCCCCCTCTCCAACTCTGCCGGCGTGCAGTTTTGGGGAGGGAACAAGCATCCAGCGGACTCGGTAATGGAGCCGTATTTGTAGGCATGGTCTGTGTATGGCTGTTGTGATGATCTCATGTGTTGTCCAGAAGCCCCGATCTCTCTTTTCTTTCCATTGTTCCCCTTCAACAGTTCAGTGCTGCCGGCCTGTTCAGTAAACCAAAGAGGACAGGTGACTTGCAAAGTGCAGTAACCAATGAGATTTCAGTTTATTGGAGTCGCTTCAGTTAAAGGATCAGTCCACTGTAGAGATGCACTATGTGGCCAAATATTTATAGATCTTTGACCACCACACTTACATTATATGGCCAGACGTATGGGGACAGCCTTCTAAACGACTGAGTTCAGATGCCTCCAGTGAAGGGTACTGTTGATGCTACAGTAGAGAGAGACTATGGTCACCTCAACCTTGAGGAGCAATTCAGGGAAGGTCCTTTTTCTGATCCACCATGACTGCTGCTGTGTGCAAAGCCAGCTCCATAAAGACTTGGTTTGACCAGTTTGGCGTGGAGGAACTTGTGGGACCTCAACC